CCTCGGACATTTTGGTGTTTTTTTTTCATAACAAATACATGGCTGTAATGGAGTGATTCATGATGATTTAATGGTGTTTTATGGTAATGGTGACTTATGGTGATTTAATGATACCTTCTGGTGATTCATAGGATTTTTTCCTGGCAAATACACGGCTTGAACGGGAATAATAATCTGGTTGGTGGTTGAGCCTACCCCTCTGAAAAATATGATATAGTCAGCTGGGATCATGACATTCCCAACTGAATGGAAAAATACCCTCTGGTAAATAAACATAGACCCTGAAAATAACAATTTTTAATGGAAACTAATCTTCCAAGTCCTATTTGCCAGGGTCTATGTTAATTTACCAGAGGATAAAATTCATGTTCCAAACCACCAACCAGGTATTTTTCCAGCATGAACAGTGGGGATTTAACTATGATTTAACTATGAAAAATCATGATAAATCACCATGAGAAGTGAGGATTTCACCAGAATTCATGGTGACATCATGTTGAACCAACAAACGCTTGATGCAACTACTGAAGAAATAGAAACAACATGAAACAACCTATATGGTGCCCCGTACTTAGCTAAGTTGGATTATAACTCAAAAAGAAACATTTGTGCTAGATATTATATTATAGTTACGTATATATCATGGCGGTTCTAAACCAACTTCTAACTACCCACCATCTCTTGTAGCCAACTAATAACTAGGGGTGCATCACCTTTTGCGAACCCAAATCCTCGGATAATCACGTTTTTCTGAATCGGAGCCGAAGCTGGTGAGTTGCCTGGTGATTCATATGATTCGGAGTGAGAACTGCTTATCCTTCAATAGTAAAAAACATGGCGGCTAATCATGGCTGCGAAATCCCTTTCAATTGGAAGTTTGAATGGTAAAATCATCTGTCGTCCATTTCCATTTCCTATGTGAGAACTTCAAGGACCCACTGAAGTGATCTAAACACTGAAGTCATGGTAAACGTCAGAGATTGAGCCGAGCATCTCCAGGGAGAGCAGGCTACAGTTGGCCACCTCGTATTTGGAACAAAGTGAGCGACAAAACTCAGCTCCACCACCTCCGGCACAGCGAAAAATCGAGGAAAACCATGGGATTTTTCACCAAGCATAGCTTCCGACATGGTTTCGATTTTGCCAGCAATTCTGGGATTGTTAGGTTTAGATCCAAACCATCAGGGGATGTGTATAGTTCCAATTTAGAACATGATGCAAGATGACATGGCCGAAGATATTCACTTGCATCTCTGTGTGTGTGCTAAGAATGCTCATTTAATCCAACGGTCCCTTTTGTAGAATATATTGTAGACTATTTTGCAGAGCACCCAAGAACTGGATACTCCATCCATTGCAGTTCTATCCATTTCTTATTTCATAAATGGCTGACTGTCTGAAAATAGGGTATCCCAAAAGCCAATGGATTAGAACCCTCATTCTCCCTATGATTTAGTGAATTTAGTGGCCATAACTTCGAGAGAAATGGGACCCCCATTCCAGTGAGGTCACAGTGAGGTCACTATATTTACCCAGAGAATATGGTAATTGTCATGGGAATATCATGTCATGGGATAGTGAGTAAACACCACAATTTTGGTGTTTACTCGTGTTGATGATTCTTACCTCGCTATCAACCATTCAGCCCATCACCCATGCAGCTTCCCCCCGCCTTCATCATCAGCCAACCGGACGCCCGCACGGCGCAAGGCGTCGGAAAGCTGATCTGAGGGAAGGCCCAAAAGGAAAGCGACGATCAGGGCCTTCTTCAGCCTCGGACATTTTGGTGTTTTTTTTCATAACAAATACATGGCTGTAATGGAGTGATTCATGATGATTTAATGGTGTTTTATGGTAATGGTGACTTATGGTGATTTAATGATACCTTCTGGTGATTCATAGGATTTTTCCTGGCAAATAGACGCCTTGAACGGGAATAATCATGGCAAATGTATATAATATTAATGGAATCTTTGCTAATAAATGGAACATCACCTGCAAATGGAAGTTTAAATGGAAAATCATCTATAACAATGCAATTTTCAGGGCATGGATTCATTGGCTTTAACAACCTGGGAATATAATGGAACATTCATGGAATAGCTGTTTCTATTAGTGAGATATTTTTGGAATATTGATGGAATATGGTTAATACCCTCTGGTGACATTAAACTTGGCTGGCTGGACAATCCCCGAGCGAAATGGAGGTTTAGTTAATTCGCTGGGAAATCATCGAATTCAATGGGAGAATTTTAATATTGCCATGTTTGATTGCCGGAGGGTTCCCCTGGCAAATACATGGTCAAAAAAAATTCTGTGTCTGAAAACGTTGGATAAATCGCCCCCAGATTGCATTTGAGTAGGGGAACATGTTCAGTATTTTTACCTAGCGGCATACCAGGTACGGTTTAATCATGTTTAATCCGTGGATTTCCAGGAAATTCAATGGCAAATCCATTTTAATGCTGAGCGGATCCAAATCGTGTATCTAATTGCCCTAAATTGTCCTAGTGAATTTCGACATTCTAAAGATTTTTTATTCGGAAATTGGATGAAAGCAGTGATCTATCTCAGTGAGCTCAGTAGCAAATGACCCAGGGGATTTCACAGTGAATTTACGGAAAAATTGGGCGGTTTTTCATGGGATATTCATGGGATTTCACCACACTTACGTGAGTTTAATCTTATTAAATCAACACATATCAACACATATCAACACATATGGGGGATTCTAACCAACGTGAAAAATTGATTTCGATGGACTTGGGACTTTGAGTATCTCATAATTCAACTCACCGAAGCATGGCGATGAAATTTTTGAGCCTCGAAACATGGCGAATTGGGACCAGTTGAAGCAGCAAGCCGATGAGTATACGGATTGAACATGTATATATGGGGATGGGTCAAAACCCTGGTACCTTTTGTTCACCCCAAAATAGCTGGGATTTATGGATGTTCATCCCACTAAAAATGTATCTATAGGTATTGACCCATACCTATATAAATTATATATATGCACCAGGCCCTGCCACCCCCCCTCCCCCCCCCCGCATGGGATGGGTCCCATAGGTGTGGTGGGGGTGTGGTATGGTATGTTGGGTATGTATGGTGTGTATGGTCTGTCTGGTTTGGCATGTTTGGAAAGTATGGTATGTTTGGTATGTATGGTAGGTATGGTATGTATGGCATGTATGTTTGCTATTGTATGTATGGTAGGTGTGGCAATTATGTTGCATATGTACGGTATATGTGGTATGTATGATAGGTATGATAGGTATAGTATGCATGGCATCATTGGAATGTATGGTAGGTACGGTATATGTTAAACACATGTAATGTTGTCAGAGTACACAGGTAGTAAATAGGAAGTAGATACATAACACATGTGTATATATATATATATATATATTGACACCAAAGTTCCCTCCACAACGGCCCAACCGCAGCGCACAACAGCTGGATTTACACTGCTGAAAGGAACTGTCTCCGTAGAAACACGATGTGCCGTCAGGCAACTGTGCACAACAATTGGCGAGCCATCTGGTCATCACCATTTCAAGGCATTGCGGTCTGGAGCTTTGAAAATGGGTACGCACAATTCAAGGCATTGCGGTCTGGAGCTTTGAAAATGGGTACGCACAAACATTTCATTGCCTCAGGCCCCACTAGGGTGGCCCGAGGGTGGGCTGGAAAAAGGATCTTGAGAAGAAAGTGAAGACATGAATGGGGCCTGACAATCGATCACAGTGCAAAAGTCGCTAGCTACCTATTGACACCAAAGTTCCCTCCACAACGGCCCAACCGCAGCGCACAACAGCTGGATTTACACTGCTGAAAGGAACTGTCTCCGTAGAAACACGATGTGCCGTCAGGCAACTGTGCACAACAATTGGCGAGCCATCTGGTCATCACCATTTCAAGGCATTGCGGTCTGGAGCTTTGAAAATGGGTACGCACAATTCAAGGCATTGCGGTCTGGAGCTTTGAAAATGGGTACGCACAAACATTTCATTGCCTCAGGCCCCACTATCCCAAAGCCAAAAATGTTGCAACTGGGCTATGCCCCATAATGCTTTTTCAGCTTGCTTAGAGTTCTATCAAGGGACCCTTCGGCTAGCTTCCAGATATCAGGGGAAATTTTGGCCATGCGTGCAAGCATCTGTCCTGGCTTTCGGTAGCGCTGTATGGACTTCAAACTTTTCCATCTGCCGCGAGACATGATCTCTTCCGGTGATCTTGACTTGCGCAGAAAATCAATCGAAGGCCCACTGTGCCGCACACAATGCGGAGTCAGGTGAAACTGGCCTAAACCAGCTGCATGTCTAGCGGCATTAAGTGCGGATTCATAGCTGCGAAGGCTGAGAGAAGGAAAAAGTCGATCGTTGACAGCAGAATGGAAAACCCATGACAACACCCGAGGTGCATAGTCTCTGTCTAGCGAGTTCAGCAAAACAGTGTCGTCTTGAAGTCCGGCTTTTGTTTTATCATCGGTCGCTGAATTTCCAAAAATGACGCCCCAAAATTTGCAGACCCGAGAAACAGGCATGATGACATCCACGCATTTCAGGTTTACAATTTCAGAGGGTCTGGCGTATCAATCCAGTTGCAAAAGAAGGGCAGCGGCTGCTTCGGGCTCCTTGCTGGCCATCATTTCGGCAAGTAGGAACCAGATACTGGGATCAGCGCCGGTTCTGGAACACTGAGGAAACTTTGCAGACCATCCTTTAAGAGCCTGGCGAGCAATGGGGAAAAGGTGTTTTTCTGGGACAGACTCATCAGAAACCAGCATGATATATCCAAAAAGGGTATATGAAGCTTTGTTGTAAGGCGCTCCCTGTTCACACAAGTCAGCGAAAAAGCTGCCCAAGTACCTGTCCACGTTGTGCATCTTCTTGGACCTCATCGAGTGCTTCTGGCAGTATACACGAAAAGTGTCCACTGCTTGCTGGTACCTTACCAGGGTGACATCTTTCACCCTGAGTGCACGAAGCTGCTTGTGTCTAGGCAGCTTTGCCCGGATGCCATGCGCGACACCCTTGCTGGAACTTTTCAGCAAAGATCGTTTCAGGCTTTGGGATTTTTGTCTTGGCCTGCTTTTTGCGTCTGCGCCCAACTTCTTGGCTGGAGTGCTGGCCGAAGAGAAAGATCTCTTGCGGCAACCCGACACGCTGATGGAACTTGTTTGTGAGAAAGTCCCAAGTGTCAGCGGCTTGTGCCTGTCTTCTAACAACCTTCGGCGTTTTAGCTGCAGCTTTGAGCTCATTGTCCCATTGCTGCACAGCACTATGAAATGTCACATCGTGACAGTCAAGGAGCGGTCTAATGATTCGGGCCCACTGGCCACACAACTCAAAAGGATAGGCCCCAGCTCTCTTGGTCTTGGGTTGGGAAACAGACTTACCCGCAACTTTAATATTTTCCGAGCCCCGTAATACTTGTTCGTGCTTCTGATGATTACACTGGCGCTGTAAGGAATCAAGTTCATGACAGTTGGTAAAGATGGCAGTTGGCTTTTTAAACTTTTCACCATACCTACAAAAATCAACACGCAAATGACGAACCCCAGGTCTACCTAAAAGTTCACTAAGGACAGGCACTTCAAAGAGTCTAGATGTCCAGGGATTTTCCAAACTCCACAATATGTTGAACCTGTTGCATGTGAAGATCAATTCAGCAGTGAAGATGGCAAGTTCAATACCCGTTCTTTCCTTTTCTTGAGCACGAACCAAATTCCTAATATTATGCCTGGCTCTACTAAAAACTGTGCAAGGAGTTGCGATGTGAACAAAACGAATCCAACCGCTTTTCAACCAGGCCAAAATGGCAAGCTGTGTGGCACGTCGTTTAAGGTCATGGTGGGACCCAAACGATATATCAACAGGGGTAAAAACAGCAGCCCCCGATCTCTCCACAGCTTCGGAAAGTCTGGCCGTGCCTGCAAACACTTCGAGGAAAGCCCCATGGAAAGCATGTCGGCTTTTACATGGTGTCTTGGATGAAGCCGAATTGCCTGTTGGCTGGCCACTGTATGTCGTGGCCACATCTGGCTGAACACCTGTATAATTCCTGCTGACTAGAGGCTTACGAAATGATCTAGCTTTGGCTGAATCAAACCTGGAATCATGATCGGATGGATTTCGTGCAGTTTCCACATGTCGCAGTCTCCAGCGCAATGATGCGGCAAACTGCAAGGCGCTAGCTTGCCTACACACCCTATTCAGTGCTACACTTGAAGAACGACCCCGTTCAAAACTGCAAAGGGCTGCAATGTTGTCCGTCAAAGTGATCTTGATTTTGCCATGTAAAGACCCTACCCTAGCAGTCCTGCGAAGCGACGATAGAGCCACTCGAGCTTCTTTCACATTTATGTGAGCTGAGGCGTCCCTCCACCTTTTTCTCCACAGTAGGGTGTACCTAGGTCGCTGGCACATGCTGTCGGGAATGGGGGGAACCATGGCAGACACATCAACTTCTAAGCGACGACTCTGCTTGGACCGCATTTGGGATTTTATGGGGCTAGTCCTAAGCCAGGATGTGGGATCAGACTGGGCAGTCAACAACCACTCGGCATACTGAGTGAGCAAGCCCGCACCAAAAGGACGCACTGCTCGAATCTCATCAGGAACCAAACCATTTTCCTGTTTTCGAGTAGTAAGTTCGTTCAACACGGCAATTAGGTTTTCACGTGAACCGGATTCAATGGCATGCCTCACAACTTCAGGCATAGGAGAAAATCTCCAGACTTCGCGCCACTTGCACAAATGGGCAATCTCGGCAAAAGTACACCATGTGGTCATAAGAGCATATGCACTGGTGGAAGAATCACCTACATCAACCTGCATGACTGGATCAAATGCTAAGTTGGAACGGGCCATCCACAGCAACCCCAGACTGGTGCGAATCTCATGCCTAACATTGGACCAAATGGTGTGCCTGTGGTGTCTATGCTGCTCAATATACCTATAGATGTGAAAAAATGCACTCAAAGCATGGGGGGTGAGCATGAACAGGGATGTCATGTGACCAAGCCAAATCTCCAAAAGCTTAGTCGGCACCCTCTTGCGACGGAGGATCCCTCGACCCGCCGCGAACGCCCTCCATAGTCTGTTGGGCTTATTGCGAATGACCCCTGCTTTGAAATCCAAAATGACACCTACCGTGGTGAACACAGAAACAGGCTCTGTGGTGGTCCAAGTAAGTGGGATGTCAGCTTGCTCGAAAAAGTTTGCAACACGACCAGCAGCTTCTGCAGCCTCTGGTTTGGTACGAGCAATAATGCTAATGTTGTCAACGTACACCCCGGTGATGGGACCCTGAAGAACACAAGGAGCTGGATTACGGTCACGAATCTCTTGCAACGGTCGCTCAATGCGACCGGAAACAATGTGGCACACTGCTTCATTAGCAAAATGAAGGGACCATGACCAGCCCATGCATAAACCCCTAAAGACAGGAAAAACAACAAGATCATCGTTAGGCTTAAAGAACAACCCAGTGCTATCATCATAGATGTCGGTTGGTTTCCATCCAGCTTTCACCCACTGGCCAACGGTCAACGGGAAACGAATGCCAAACCAAGAAGCTAGCTCTTCACTGAAAAAGTTGTAAAAGCAATCGTTCACATCTGCCTCAATGCCGTACGCAAGTGGCTCGTCAGGCTGACTAGCGGGGAATTGGATATCTAAGAAAGCTCTGGGAGTGGCCAACCGTGTGCAAGGGGGTCTGGTATGCCTAAGGTTAACCCTTCTAGCGTCAATGACCATCCTAATCCATTCAGGGGTTTTCTTCTTTACGAAGAATAAAGCGATTTCCTCTTTGATATGTGAGCGAAAAGTGACAAGACCCTGGTTAGCGAGTCCTACAAGTAAACGCTTCATCTCAGAGGGAGACCTTTTTAACTTGGGATCCCAATAGGGTGTGACCTGGGACAACGCAACATCATCGCAATCATCTCTGGGTTTCTCGATAAGGGTTGCAAACCTTTTCAACACCGACTTGGCAAAGGGTGGCAAAACCTCTTCAAGTTTTCTAGGCCTAAGCTTACTATGTAACACTTTAACCTTAGAGTGCTCGTACTGCGCAATGTTTCGCGGCTCCTCTTCATAGAGGCTTTTGCTCCCGGCCATTGCCGATAGGGCAGACTGCCCACTCAAGTCACCTGGAGGCTCACCCGCTTCAATTAAGCAATCTCGAACCTTCTGGGCCAAATGAACTTGGGATCGGACTGGCGGAGAGCTGCGCAGTGACTTAGCAAAAGATGAATTCGATCCATGCAAAGCAAGAGTGTTCAGAGCACAAGCTGACCACGAAGCTCGCTGTGGAAAAAAGACCCCCGAATCCTCGGCCACGGATTGTACAAAGGTCTGGCACAAAGGAAAGGGGTCACCATGCGATCTGAACTTGGATCGCAACATGCCACCTGCAAAATCACAAACTGGATGCCCCACGGGCGGCTATGAGACAACCAGCGCAAAACTAAAAACTAAGCCTCGCCGGCCACTCCGCCACTTGCGGATGGGCCGGACTTTGCTTTGGCTTTTGGCCTGTTCTTCCTCCTCCATGCTGACGGTTGATCATCACCACCGCCCCCACCTCCGGTCTTGTCTTTGTATTTCATGGCTTGCTCCTCCCGATAGAGGCGTGTCTGTTTTTGAATGTCGGCCTGCTCTTTCAACCGTGCTGTCAACCAAGTGTCAACAGCACGAACACTGGCGGCCCCTCCCACACTGATAGGTGCTTCCATGAGCAAATCCAACCCTCCAAACTCAGGTGATGATGGGTTACAGCTGACAGCAAGTTCAAGCTGAATGATGCGCCGAGTGAGCAGCTCCATGGACATGAGATTGGTCACATCAAGCTGATCTCGGCAAATGGCCAAACGCAAACATTCAATCAAGCACTTGTGTTCATGGCTGATGGAAGACTTCTGATTCACACCCGAATGCTGAATCCACTGCAAATGATATGATGTGAGGTCTGCAGTGCCTTGCAAAACTGAAGACAACATCTCCTGGGTAGCCCGAGGGCCTTCAAAAGTCCAATCTGGCAGCTCGCTCTGCCGCATCAAAGGAAAGGCGTCACTCAAGGCAATGAATCGTTTGCCCTGAGAATCAATGTGTGTGCCTATGGTCCTAAGCTCACCTTGAGTGCCCTTCATCTTGTCGGCAAAACCAGAAACATCTGTTGATGGGATCTCCTCAATGCCCTCAATGGCCCCATCGACCTCAACCAAACCACGATTGCCCATGAAAACAGCGTTAGCTAGAGCATCAGGCCTGACCTCTGTCCCCAATCTGGATGATTGTGGATCCGAGAAAACCCATGACTGCGACTGGATCTCCTGCATGTCCTCATCACCTAACACCACTGCCATGGTGGCAGCACGTCGGCGGTAGCTTTCCAAGTCACCGCGAGGGATGACATCAAAGGCATAGATCTCCGGAAGCAGATGGGCTGGGAATGGGCTTCGTCGCCCCAACACTATATGCTGTCGAGCATTCAGATCGATAGTCTCCAAATCATAGTCCGGCGAGAGTGAAATCCAGCGACCTGGGGATAAACGTTTCAAAAGAAGCCGATGATGATGGAAAAAACCGTTGGCATCTCCTGGAAAGTTCAACAAAATTTGGGGTTCAGGAACATCAAGGGAAATGTCCTCAGCAGCCGCCATCACCGACGACCTCTGCCTCTACCCAGTGTTGAAGGTCTGGCTGGCCTCAAAACAAGACTGTCCTTCCTTCTTTCCAAGGGATGTTGGTCTAACGAGCTGGAGTCAGAATCGTTAGAACCTCCGGCAACCCCAATCACGTCTTTTGTGGGCACTTGAACCCTCGAACGCGGTCTGAACACCCACGAATACCCAAGCAACAAACCAAGAATGGCAATGATGCAGGTAAAGAGAGTCGTGATCCAACCGTGAATAGTCCCAGTTCTTTCAGCCACTTCCACCGTATCAGCGTACTTGTCCAACAATCGGTGTGCACGATGCAACTCAAGCTGCAAAGTCTGGACTTCAGAAGCTAGGGATCCAATCAATTGCTTAGTCTGGTCAGTATCAACCACAGATCTCAGAATATGGGTGCAGAACCAACCCAGATGCAGCCACTCAACACGCATGAACGAACCTACCTGCAAGCTGGAAAAAGGATCTTGAGAAGAAAGTGAAGACATGAATGGGGCCTGACAATCGATCACAGTGCAAAAGTCGCTAGCTACCTATATATCACTATAGGTAGTACGTAGGCGTCACGTGGGTACTTTGAGGGAGTATGTGTGCTGCGTAGGTCGCCGAAAAGGTAGCATGTACCTAGTAAATGCGAGGCTGGTAGTCAGAAATGCTGCAAAGACCTAGCAAATACGAAGCTGGACATCAGAAATGCTGCCAATAGCTTGCAAATAGAAGGAAAGGGGGGGGTGGTACCTGGGGACACAACCCATGGGGGGGGGGGGGAGAGACGGAGGACGGGACCATATATACTGTATCATTGTTATGTCATATATTCTCATATGATATTAGATATATTTAGATATTATATTGTGGATTTCGGACAGGACTACCAAAATTGATGCTAAACAGGACTCAGGACTGGCCAACAACTTCTACATGCTGATATTTCACCAGTATAGGTTTGATCTGATACAGTCAATTCTTTTTCCCCGAAGGATGCAAGCAGGGCAAGTTACTTAGCCATTTCACAGGCCTGAAGCAAAGGATGTAACTTACGATGTCATGAATTCCCTGTCCTAGCCAACAAGGGGGATACTTCATATGAAGAAGTCTGGGTATAAAATGGTATAGAGCAAATTAAAGCAACAGATTTCTGTGGGGATTTCAACATATTTCAACGATCAATGTGGGGATGATCACCACCCAAAAAACAATGTTTGTACCATTACCGGCACGTGACACAACAGTACCGAGATGGCGATCAACTCCGGCGCAGTTGATGCCGCGTTAGAATTTTCGATGTGAGAAATTTCTGTTTGAAATAAATCTTAGAATCCCATATCCCATAGGATCCATGGTGCTGCTATATATGGTAACATGGATCCCATCAATATACCCCCAATGTTAGTATATATACCATACATGGATCCTATGGGATATGGTGGCAAAATGGGCCTAAACCCTAAACCCAAACTCAGTAGCAAACTAAACTTATTTAAGTAAAGTTGTTTTAACAAATCGCAACATTGGGTTTTCGCTTAGAGCAGTGTATTTTCGGCCGAACCCTATATTGTGGATTAATCCGAAAAAGAGGGCGCCCCCTCGGTTTATCAACAGTTTCTCCAGTCAAATGGGTCTAAATTGCCTCAATTCCGGCATTTTTCGCCAAAGCCATCCTAATCATCCTATAACCAGTTAAGTCCCCTATCTTGTATGCGCAAATCAGCTTGTTGATGTGTTGATGAGTTTTAAGATGTTCCAAAATTCGTCAAATCCATATGGAGCTTTCCGAACGGTCGGCCGGGGCGGCCAATTTCCCCGCATCATTCAGGTCATGAATGATCATGACTTAGGATTGAAACAACTGAAACAACCATGGTGACGACTGGGGGTTCCTCATTTTAAGAAACCTCCATGTCAAGAACGGTTAATTTAGTTAATTAGTTTTGTTCAACAACTTTCATCAACTATGATTCGTATGATTCACTTAAAAAAAGGTGAATTCTGGGGGGTGATATACCCTCTGGTAAACATTCACAGTTTGCTATTGAAGCCATGGCCCAGTTGAAATAGTTGATTTACCCATTGATAGCATGGTGTTTTTCCAGTTCGTTATGTCGCAAATTACCAGAGGGTACAATGTGGGGCCCCCAAGATACAGTAGCTAAGTTGGTGCAAATAACTCCAATAACTATAGTTATTTGCGTACCATAAACATCCATAAACCATAGTTATTGGAGTTATTTGCACCAACTGAGCTATCTAACGGGGGCCCCACATTGTATACATCCCTTCCCCCCACACTCTGCCGAGCAGCGCCCGATCGGCGGGACGAGGACGATCCGCCATTGGAACGGGCTCGGAACCGGAGGAACTGGAGGCAAGCTGGAAGATCCGCCAGATCTCCTGGTGGAGGGAGGCTATCTGCTTGGTGGTTTTAACCATCATGGGATTTACCCATTAAAAATGGTGATTTTCTATAGCAAAATGATATAGTTATATAAGTTATATATGATTGTATATCTATGGTTGGTGGTGACTTAACATGTTTTAACCATGGATCCTATGGGTATTGGATATCTATGGTTGGTGGTGGTTTTAACCATCTGGAAGAAATATGTATGAAATATTGAATATCTGGTTGGTGGTTTTACCCTCTGGCAATTTGTTACATCTGGCTATGGAAAAAAATCACCATGCTATTAATGGGAAAACTCACTATTTCTATGGCAATTTTCAATAATTAGCTATGTTAGTTTACCAGAGGGTAACATGTTTTAACCATCTTGAAACATATGAAAGTCAATGGGAAGGATCATCCCATATATGAAATGGAAAAATAAAACATGTTCCAAACCACCAACCAGCAATGAGATTGGATTCTGAAGCGTTTCGAGAACGTGGATTCGACATGCAAAAGCTGAAACTGGAAACAACACATTCTGCAAAAAGCCAACACGTCTTGGAAAAACAACAGGAACAAGTAGACCAACGGCCGACACTTAAATGGTGCTTCACACAGCGTCGCGAAACATGGCCGCGTTTTTTTTTGCATGGCATCAGGATCATCAGGCTTGCAGAAGATATACCCTCTGGTAAACTAACATGGCTATTGAACATTGCCATAGAAATAGTGGATTTACCCATTAAAATAGTGATTTTCCATAGTTTTCTGTATGTTTCTAAAGGCAACATTCCCATATTCAGAAAATCTTCGCATACCATGTTTTCATCGTACTCCAGACCTGGGTTTTGGTATGTTACTTTGATAGGCATTTCAGCTCAATCTGGAAGGAACAGTTGGCCCACGGCGAATCCATTGAATGCCCCTCCACAGCTTTCTATCCCCTATGTCGTTCCAAAGGAGCTGTGGACGTTGAATGAATTGAAGGCTGCTTTGAAAGGAAGTTTCCTCATTTGTCTACAGAAGAAGGACAGGGTTGTCAAAGGTAACGTTTTTAAAGGTTGGCTAAGTAAAAATTAGCAAGTTTCTTCCCCGGGACCTCACCCAAGGTGAACTTGGAAAAATAGAACCCACTGGTGTGCCCCTGGAAGTTTGGGCCGGCTTTGGGATTGGAATTTTGGTTCTGGCCGCGAAATTTCCCTATGTGGTCTCTATACCAGCCACGCATACTCGGAATTCTTCGCATTCCACAAATTCTTCGCACTCCACATGGGACATCGCACTCCACAGCTAGGGACGCGCACATACTATAAAATCCACGCACTCTGCAAGATCTTCGCACTCCATAAAATCTTCGTACTCGGTAATTTTTCGTTTTTTTTCGTTTTTTTTTCTTTTTTTTTTTTTTTTCGTTTTTTTTTTTGGCTAAAATCGCCTGGAATCACGTTTTCTGGAATATGGGAAAGGTAGCGGTTTTTCGTGAGACGTCTGTAGTTGCACATACTATCGCATTCCAGGCAATTTTGGCCAAAAAAAAAAAAGAAAAAAGAAAAAAAAAAGCTCAGCAGGGTGAAATGTGATAATTTTCTGGTATATGATGGAAAAAACTGGTGTTGGATTCATGGGGAAGGTCGAAGGGGGCCACGCATACTGTTTTATTTTCGCATTCCAGAAAATTAGCGCACTCCAGGGGTGGCATCGTACTCTATCGGTGGAATTATTTTGCACGGAAGAAAACAGGATCGTCGATGATTTGTGTTCCCAGATCCTGTTGTGCAGAGCTCTTCGCGGGGCCACAAAGATGTCAAGAAAGATGGGGATGGCGCTGCTGATGAAAGGCCAGCCAAGCGTGCCAGAACATAAGCTTAAAGCTTATGAATTGGGTTTTGGGATCGTGAAAAGTGTAGATGACAAATTTCCATAAGAACATTATTAATCCATTTTTGGAAAGCTCAACATGTTTAATTATGACATTTCCAGAAATTGTTGAAAGTAAGGATCTTCTTTGGGGAAGAACATGTGCAGTCGACAACGTACGTGCCAGAAGAAAAGGAATACTTGGCAAACTGTATGAAATACAAATTTCACCTGAAAGGGGTCTTCGCAATTCCCTGAAATTTCCCAGCTATTTTGGCATGGAATATGTTCGGCCCTGGAATATGGGCAAGAAATTGCTAGAATGTTTATCAGAGGGTAATCCAGTGAAACTGGGTGAAATCTTCACCATCAAATTCACTTGGTGAAATCTTCATGACACTCTGCACGCTTTCCCAGGCTCCCCCATTTTTTTCCGGCCTTGTCTGTGCTGCCCGATGCCAAACACTCTCGAGCCTAGGAACCCACATCATGGAGGCCATCCCTGTCATTCTTCTCGCTGACATGGGTCATTCTCAAAAATTGGATTCAAACCATCCAAACACAATTAATCTTCCTTACAAAAACGGTCCGAATTTTGGATCATTTTAAGGGCTCCCGCACTGGCCAGGAAAATCTATCGTTTAACGGTATGTTTTCGGGTGACCTCCTCATAGTTAGGGTAGCCCGCGCCAGGTCGACCCCCGTTTTGCAAATTTGCAACCCGTTTTTTGCCAGTGGAACCAGTCAACTAGTTCGTTATATCTACCATAAACCATAGTTACCAGTGCTTATTAACTATCATTAACCATCATTAATCATCATTATCCCATACTAAACAAAATGGTCTTTGACACTGATTAGATGGGTCTCTGATATGTATACTGCATACGCATGCATACGCACTCTGTTAGTTAGCTCTTCAAGTTCTTTTTTTTGCCAGAAAATAATTAAAGTTTTAAACCATTAGATTTTTCATCAATAAAGACAAACATCATGACAAAAAATATGACTGCAGTACAGTTACACTTAAAAAAACTTTACAAACACATAATTTACCATATGAACCATCAAATCTTAGAGATTAAAGTACTATGTAGGACGTATCCAAGGTGTCACCACAAACTTTTTTTGTTATTGGAGGATACCCAGTCGTCACCATAGTTGTTTCAATACTAAGTCACGGTCATGACGACTGGATGATTTGCGGGTATCCCCATGACTTAGGAAACCTCACAATGAAAACTGGTTGGTGGTATACCTACCCCTCTGAAAAATATGAGTTCGTCAGTTGGGATCATCATTCCCAATATATGGAAAGTCATAAAAGTCATGTTCCAAACCACCAACCAGTGTTTGTTGGTTTATAAACCATGAAAAATCCCCATTAACTAGTTCGTTATATCTACCATAAACCATAGTTACCAGTGATTATTAACCATTATCATTATTAACCATTATTGACCATTATTAACCATCATTATCCCATACCCATAGGATCCATGTATGGAATATTTACCAACATTTACCCCATAAATGAGCCAAATGTAGGTAAATATACTATACATGGATCCTATGGGTACTAAACCAATGTTCCAGTCACCACCCCAACCAGTTACCATACCGAGTCACTGCAGCTTCCACAGATTCGATCACCGCCTCCACCGTGTCGTCGCCATCTGAAGCCGTCGTGGCGGAAGCCGCCGAGAACGTGGTGGTGTCCGGGTCGGACACCGTGGGGAGGACCTTGGGAAGCAACGAAATTTATGGAAAGAAACGGTGATCTATAGGAAAAACATGGAAAAACAACAATGAAACAAGATTGGTTTCAAGTTTTAAGCACCATCCGGCTAGATTTCTCCAAGAGAATATCATTTGATTGTACAATTGTACTGTGTATCTAAAAACCATGGGGATTTATATAAGCATCAAACAATGCAGAGTCTTGACAGCCAGCTGGAGCCACATATATTGTACCCAAAGCACCAGCCCAAACTTGGCTGGTTCAAGGAACCAACAAGGGCTAATTGAAGAAAATATGTTCAAATGGATGTGGGTCAAAATGGAAGACCTAGGGGACCACAGATGTTAGTCTAGTTTAGTATTAACCATCCATAATTTTGGGGTACCTAATTTTGACCCAGACCCAAATATGTTCACAATCCAACCAATGAGGAATCCACTTCAGCTATGTTCAGCTGCAACATGGGTGCCATTTCACACGGAAACATCTCGGCTTGGGCTACCGAGACCTTCCGCCCTCATCAAGGCATTGCATTCCAAGATGCTGGAGGGGAAGTAGAAGTGTTCAGCAAAGGAACCTCAAAACATCCCCACCCGGGTCAGCGACAAGAATCGGGATCGCAATGTGGGTAGGAACTAAGTTCCTGTGATCCTGAAAAACCATTAAAAACCGCTAAGCAACGCGGCAGATCGGCAAGGTGGCGTTGCAAACAAAGGAGTCGTCCACCTGACATTCATCCTCGTAGCCTGAGAAGCGTAGGCGCAGGGTGAAGATCAACGTCAACCATGGGGGGTTTGTGGTGAAAATCTGCGAAAACGCTGAGGTTTGAGCGGAGGAGTTAACAATATAGATGGTGATTGAATGGTGATTTCATGGTGATTTCATGGTGATTATATCTGGGAATTTCAAGGGGATTTCGATGTGGGATTTGCTATGGGATATATAACCACCACAATCATGAGCAACTGGGTTACAATGGGGCCCCATCCAACAAAATCAATAACTAGACACTTCCTCTTTATGTTGGCCCTGATTTCCAGTGGACCGATCTTCACACCAATTTCGGCCCTTCGGGAGTGTTGCCTTCCCACACAAAAACATAATTTTGGGATACCCTCTGGCAAACATACAGAAAACTATGGAAAATCACCATTTTCAATGGGAAAATCCACTATAAATCGCCATTTTCAATAGCCATGTTTGTTTACCAGAGGATAAATAGGGGAATATCATTGGGCCTTGAAATGATCCATTCCGGGACGCCCGAAATGTTCAGACAGTTTCCCCCTTGGAACTTCAAAATTTCTTCATTCCACGGGCGAAAAATCCAACTTTTTCTATATTATACTCCCATATATTTGATATTTATATTTACTTGATTAAAAAAAAAACTGAATTCTGTTGGTTCAAAGAAGGTTTCTCCAAAAATATACCGCAAATTCTATCATTCTACTGGCTACACATCATGATCCCCATACAGGATGGTGCCCCCCCAGTTATAAGTTGGTTTATAAACCCCATTAACTAGTTCGTTATATCTACCATAAACCATAGAATTCAACCATTTATATAATTATATCTCAACTGAACCCCATCTTGTGGGCCCTATATGGCCCTATCCTGTAACAAATGTCATGTTTTTCCGACAAAAAATCAGCATTTTTGCACAGGGGCTGCAGAATCTGCGATGGCCCGCTACATCTGTCTGATAGAAGTTCCCCGAGCTGCCTTAGCCGTGGTCAACGTAGCAGGATGGACGGTCAAGTAGTTCATCTCTAATTTTTTCATGGGATAATGTGGGATTTTCTGCAAACAATTGTGGGATCTTATGGGATTTTTCTAAGGTGTGATGGATTTCAGTAGTGGCAGATAAATGTGGGCTTGTTTTTGTTGGGTTCTGGGGATTCTATGGTGATTCATGGGGATTTAACTAAGAAACAATTGGAATAATCGGAATTACCTTTGGTAATCTAACATAGCTGTGGGAAAATGGTCCGTTCGTAAATTCTTGACCTATAGAAATTCTGGTTTTCCACAGCTAAGTGTGAGTCATGGCCGTTGCGGGTTTCGGAAATCCCAGGATTCCGGCTGTTTCTTCTCGGTTTTCCCTTGGTTTTCCCATCGAAATCCCGATGTTCTGCGGGAAAACCAGGCTTGAGCCCGGGGGCACTGGCTCTCCGAGAGCTGGTCACAGGTCAAACTCATGCTCCTGCAGCACGGGGGAATGGCGTGCTATGGAACATGGATGAACATGGACCATTAGAAATAGGTGATTTACCCATGAACAATGGTGATTTTCCATAGTTTTGTTATAGCATACCAGAGTGTAATGGTGATTTAATCCTGAATTCATGGTGCAATTATTATTAAACTATATGGTGATTTAATGGTGATTGGGGTATGATGGGTATATAATCGGGATACAATGGGATTGCTTTAGCATCTTGCGCATATACGAGTCAAATTGGTTACTCCATGTTACTCCTTTTAATATAGCTTTAGTGAATGCGTGATATGATTCAGCTGAAAACTAAATTTCCAATCAACCAAACATCGGATGTATATCCACCAAAAACGAGGGATCCCAATTAGCTATATAATCGGAATATGGCGCTTCATGCCGCTTCATCAGAATTCATCTGTGGCTCCGGTCTGTGTTCAATTTCAAACCGTTTGTATTGAACAATATGGGGTCTACCATATCTAGCATCACATTTGGTAATTTGGTAATCATCCAAAAAATACAATTAACGAATTTAACATAATTTAACGATAGAACCTGAACTATATGATAACTGTGGGGTCCGAAAGATGATTTACAATAACTGTTCGGACAACGCCACTTCGGCATTTCATATTCACTTGGGCATGAACTATCTTCCCAATCCCAACAAAGGATAACAAATTATGGGATCATTAACATTCATTAACATTAACTATTATCTATGGAATCCTCATTTCATGTGGGTCAAACAATAATAAACCACCCATTTGGGAATTGTTTATATTCTTTATACATCTTTATACCACCATTTGGGGGATGGTTTATGGCATCGTTTTACCCACATAAAACGGAGTTTTTCACTTCTATCCCAGGTCCATGTGACACAGGTCAGGTCAAACCCCTCCAGTCCCACCTCACATCCGTGCGCGCGCAGAATTCGAAGCAGCCCACGGGCACTTCCTGCGAAATCCCCGAACTCAACGGAGGTTTAGTCAGTGGGAAAATCATGGGAAATGATTGGGGAATAGAGGAAAATCCCACCATAAATCAGCGGTAAATGGCAAATTTTCCATACTCGGGGATGGTTTGTGTTTTTTTCCCGGAAAACTGTACCAGGAAAGCAGGTTTTTTGAACTCAAAATATTGGGGGGTGTCCTAGAAATTAAAAGATTCTGGGGTGCTTGGTCAAAATGTCCAACAAATTGGTTGTTTACTTTCACACGGGAATGGTGAGAAATATTCTAGACAGGTTAATTACGTAGCTTCACGTGAGCATCAAAACCTCTTCATCACCTGCGTGCTTCCCGGGCAAACTGTGACATGAACATCTGGGCTCCACGAAGCTCTTCCATCTGGAGCTTGGCCAACTCTTCTGATGTGGAAGATCAGCATCAGGGCAACCAGGATTGTTGTTCTTGGAAGTCTGGTCCTCTGCCTTGCGGCGCTCGTTTTTTCAATCGTGATTGAAAGCTGATCTCTGAACTCACCTGTCTTCTCCACAGCTAGGCCCATATTGCTGAACACACGCTTCATATCGGACTGACGCGCATCAGTCAATGCTTGGGTGGCCTTCTCCTCACTTCGACCTGCATTGATGCCTGCCACTGTGAGCTTGGTCTGTACAGCTCCCTGCTGGAGACGTTTTTTCTGCCGAATCATCGCTGAGACCAATGACTCATTGGGTTTTAGTTCTGTGCCCGTTCCACGTTCGGCAAAGATGATCGATAGGGCTACCGGGGAAGAACCGGCCTCAACCATCTCCACTGCACTGAAATCACGTGCAGCTTTCACCCGAGCTGCCTGTGGCGTGTTGAGCTGCGGAAGTGGATAGCCCAACAGCCATCCATGACACGAAAAGCTCAGCGATCGGGTGCGCACCCTGCGCATGCTTTCTAAGCCTATGGTTTTGGTGGACTCTTCCAAAATATCAGCTCCCCTGCCAAAAAAAAGTCTTGTGGTTAAGCACAAATTACCAGTATCCCCCCCCAGGACAAACATCACCTTTCAGGGCACAGTGTAATGACAATAAACCAATATATTCCCATGATGTAAAAAAATCATATGTCTATATATTATACATTTTTTCCCCATGATATACCCCTATAAAATACCAATTTTCTAGATGTCCCTTTTGAACAATCTTCGCTTTTTACATTCCCTTCTGAAATAGCCATAGATATCCATCGCCCCTACCGCTACACCCGATTTCTCAGCCTCGCCATGAACGTAGTAGCCATTCCCATCATCGTTGGAGCTGCCGCTCGGACCCGCCGTTTCGGCCCCAAACACACCTCGGTGGCGTCGAAATGATCAAAGCTGGTCAAAGGCCAGGGACGGTTGACGCGACGCAGGATGCTGCCCCTATGAAATGTTTGTCAGTGAATAGTTTGGTTGGTAATATACTGTTAATAATGGTTAATATATGGTTATTATATGGTTAATGATGGTTTTTAGTTTTAGCCCATTGACATCCATGACTGGTTGGTGGTATACCTACCTACCCCTCTGAAAAATGATGGAGTGAAAGTCAGTTGGGATGATGACATTCCCAATATATATATAGAAAGGCATAAAATTCCATGGTTCCAGTCACCACCAACCAGATGAATTCTAGTTGCATAACATCCATAAACATCCCGCCGGACCGGAACCCGTGCCCATAAAACGCACGTTTTTTTAAAAATGTGATTTTACCACAGTGCCGTGCTGATTTGATGATTGGAAATCCTGGAAAAACTTGGGGCGCGTTTTTTGGCTTTTTAGCGTCATCGCAGTAAACGATCCCAGAGTAAACGATCACGTAGCAACATGTAACGTAGTAAACGATCCCAGAGATCTCAGCAGAGTAGCAATATTTCATGTACGAAGTACAAGGAACGTTAACATGCCCCCCCACCCCACCCCACCCCAACCCAACCCAGCCCACCCCATCAGCAGCGTAGCAACATGTAACGTAGTAAACGATCGCAGAGATCTCAGCAGCGTGGCAATATTTCATGTACGAAGTACAAGGAACGTTAACATGCCCCCCCCCACCCCACCCCACAATCGCGATATTCAAAAACGTGCGTTTTACGGGAACGGTTTTCGGTCCGCAGGCATAAACATCCATAGTTACCATAGTCAAGCCACTTAATTATACCCTCTGGTAAACTAACATAACTATGGAAAATCACCATTTTTAATGGGAAAACTCACTATAAATCACCATTTTCCATAGCTATTTTGACATAGCCAGAAGGTATATCTCAACTGAACACACCAACGGGGGACGGCCCCATCCCATCCGTGATTTATCCCCATCCGGGATGGATCAATGGGATGCTCGTCGGATGATACCGCTCCATTTATCGCTTGCTGTTTCCACAGTCAAAGCTCCATTTAGTTCGAGGATTTTCCAGCCATGATGGCTACCCTCTGGTAATTTAACGTAGCTATTGAAAATGACCATTTATAGTGAGTTTTTCCATTAAAAATGGTGATTTTCCATAGTTATGTTAGTTTACCAGAGGGTATCTATATTAGTACCTGAGGGTAACCATCAACAATTGGAATTTGTATAATTCTGAATGTTCTTAATATGGGAAAATATGGAACATCATGATTCATTGGCTTGGTTAAAGGGAAAATCCAGACTGGGATTCTTAGCCGGCAGAAAACATACAGCAGGAATATATAATTTAGACATACCAGTTGACAAGAATAGTAGAGGTGAACCCATAGATATACCATACCCACTTAACATCTATATGTTGATTTACTGGTGAAGTATGAATTGCTAAACGGATCTCAACGGATTAAAGCCACTTGATGGTCACAAGATTTTCCAAGATCATCCCAGCTAATAACTCGGCAACAGCTTCGGATATGTTGCCAACGTACTATGCTAAGGTAATTCAACATATGGACCATTTAGCTGTACACATGTACAGTACCTTGCAAAAATAATGATTTCCCATATATATATATATATAATGACTCTACAAATATATGTGTTCTAACCTGAGGGTATATCAAGATATGGAATGATATGGCTATATTTCATCAGCATCTATGGTCCCAAGGTGTCACCATTTTCCGACTTGCGGAGCGAGATTTAGTAAACTGACAGCTTGCTATGGAAAATGGGCCATGAAAATGGCTGATTTACCTATGAAACGTGCGGATTTTCCACAGTCATGTTAGTTCACGGGATGTAACTCATAAATATGGACGTTTGATTTGGACTTCTTCTCTTTCAGCATTGCAGTTGTTTGACTAGACCTGGTCACCAGCAATCAGTGTGACTAGACCTGCACATGAGATATCGATCATCCCATCTCAACAGCTTCCATGTTCCATGTTTCCCTCGGAATGCATTGGCCAATCCTCTAAAACTACCAAGTTGTCGAGCAAGTGAATTTTCCCAGTTTCCCGACATGAAAACATGTGAACCACTAAAAATAGTTACTGTATCCCATTAATTATCGGCAACTATCCCCAACAGACCTAGGTTGGTTCAGAAGCCCCTGTTTATCCTGCAATTCATTCCACAGGGCTTCCATGATGTTCCATGTCAGCCTCCGAGCTCATGACTTATCACAGTTGTAGTGAATGTCGTGGTTGTGGTTGACGTTGTACTAGTGGTGCTGGTGCTAGTGGTGCTGGTAGTTGTAGTACTGGTGGTTGCCTGCGACCAGCGAAAATCGAAAATCGTCAAATACTGGCCACACTCCCTGTTTCTTAGAGTCAGTGAAATAAATCTTCTTCCCTGGGTCCACAGTAAATTATAATATATCTATATATAAAAATATATATCTCACTAACCTGAAATACGGCCACTGAATGCCACTGATCTTCTCTTTGGCCGGCCCCCCAGCAAGATTTAGGACCTGAATCTTAAGGCCATTTGGGGATAGTTATCCTTGCTAACCATCTTTCCAATGAGGTCGAAGTTGTTCCAATTTTCAATGGATTGGTTTAAGGGAAAATCTACAGGAAACCATGGTTTTTACCATCAAATATAGGGGTTTCCTGTAAATTTTCCCATCATCCAATTCTATGAAATTTACCCAGACAATTTTTTCAGCATCTTGCCCGGGGCAACCTGTGAGGATGCGAATTTTTTAACGCAGGTTGGGGCAGATGTTGTATATACATTATACTCACTCAGTATTCCCATATAATTATTAATCAAGCACTATATGTATAGCACCCCCCCAAAAAGAGATGTTGAACAGTTGCAAACCTGGAAATGATGGGCATCGAACTGCTGATCCCGGAAACACTCTTCTATCAATTTCTATATATCTTTTCAGTGGTTGCTATAATCATTTTCCTTAGTCTAACATATTCTAACAGTCTTGTATCCCATTTATCATGTTTGATGATTCAATCAGTCCCATTCACTTTGCATGTGATCATCAGATAAGTTTCTTGGGGGTTGCTATCTAATAGTTATAGGAGCTATATCCCAAATAAATCCAAATAATGGAGGTTATCACCATGGTTATTCCAAGTTATTCCCATTTATAAACCTACTAAAACTCGATCTACTGCCCGGCCTTGCGACCACATGGCCAGTTGCAGTCCAAACACGCCTGCGTGGAGTCCTGGACCATGACAGGTGGGAGAGTTTTTTGTTCAGCAAAAGCGGGAGATATATGTGGAATTCCAACGTGTTTGTTTCAGCCAAATAAAGTTGGATAGAGAACTTAACTCTATATATATATATATATACATACATATATAAATAATCCGCCGACCCCGGCCTTCGCCAAGGCCGGGGCGGCGCCTGGGACCACCGGAGGTGTGGATCCTGTCTTTCTTGAACCCTTGCCACGCCCAACGCTGCAGGCAAAAGCCACCACAAGGCCACAGCAATGGCTCAAGAGCACCCCACGGCCGCAGCAATGGCTTCTTTTATAGGCGTTCAAGGCTGCCGTTTGCCAGGCCTCAAACCCTCCAAACCGTCCAACTCCTCCAAAAGTTTGCCCAACTCCGCAGGGAAAAGGTACCCCAATAAGCCCAACACGCGCCACGCCCGCAGGCAAAAGCCACCACAAGGCCACAGCAATGGCTCAAGAGCACCCCACGGCCGCAGCAATGGCTTCTTATAGGCGTTCAAAGCTGCCGTTTGCCAGGCCTCAAACCCTCCAAACCCTCCAAAAGTCCGCCCAGCTCCGCAGGGAAAAGGTACCCCAACAAGCTCAACACGCGCCACGCCCGCAGGCAAAAGCCACCACAAGGCCACAGCAATGGCTGAAGGGCACCCCCCGGCCGCAGCAATGGCTTCTTATAGGCGTTCAAGGCTGCCGTTTGCCAGGCCTCAAACCCTCCAAACCCTCCAAAAGTTTGCCCAGCTCCGCAGGGAAAAGGTACCCCAATAAGCCCAACACGCGCCACGCCCGCAGGCAAAAGCCACCACAAGGCCACAGCAATGGCTCAAGGGCACCCGACGGCCGCAGCAATGGCTTCTTATACGCATTTCAGGCTGCCGTTTGCCAGGCCTCAAACCCTCCAAACCCTCCAAATCCTCCAAAAAGTCCGCCCAACTCCGCAGGCAAAAGGTACCCCAACAAGCTAAACACGCGCCACGCCCGCAGCACCCCCCGGCCGCAGCAATGGCTTCTTATAGGCGTTCAAGGCTGCCGTTTGCCAGGCCTCAAACCCTCCAAACCCTCCAAAAGTCCGCCCAGCTCCGCAAGGAAAAGGTACCCCAACAAGCCCAACACGCGCCACTCCCGCACGCAAAAGCCACCACAAGGCCACAGCAATGGCTGAAGGGCACCCCCCGGCCGCAGCAATGGCTATAAGGGCCTCTTATAGGCGTTCAAGGCTGCCGTTTGCCAGGCCTCAAACGCTCCAAACCCTCCAAAGGTCCGCCCAGCTCCGCAGGGAAAAGGTACCCCAACAAGCCCAACACGCGCCACTCCCGCACGCAAAAGCACAAGGCCACAGCAATGGCTGAAGGGCACCCCCCGGCCGCAGCAATGGCTTCTTATAGGCGTTCAAGGCTGCCGTTTGCCAGGCCTCAAACCCTCCAAACCCTCCAAAAGTCTGCCCAGCTCCGCAGGGAAAAGGTACCCCAACAAGCCCAACACACGCCACTCCCGCACACAAAAGACACCACAAAGCCACAGCAATGGCTCCAGGGCACCCCGCGGCCGCAGCAATGGCTTCTTCTGGGTGTTCAATGCTGCCGTTTGCGAGGCTTCAAACCCTCCAAACGCCTCAAATGCTTCAAAGGCCCTTGCCACGCCCAACTCCGCACGCAAACGTTACCCCAACAGGCATCACGCCCAACGCTGCAAGCAAAAGCCACCCCAACAGGTACCCGACAAGGCCACAGCAATGGCTCAATCACGGCTTTTAATTCGCAAAGTGAAAAACAAACCCTCAAAGCAAAACAATAAACTCAGTCAATAACATATAATTGGCCCGTCTTTTGCTGATGCCTTGCCACAACACATGACAAGTACCGGAAGTACCGCCCTCGCAAGTCTGAGGAACCAGCGCGTGCTGCCCAGCAAGGTTGGCACCTTTTGATTTGTTCAGCCACTCAGCCATGCAGACCCAAAAAAGCTAAAGCCATTGATTGCCACATGACTCAAGAGCGAAGCGGAGAATCCAGTGCAGGTTGTGGTAACGGCCTTGTCCTCGAACGGCATCTCAACAAAGGCCTATCCAAGGTGCATGGCAACTTAAGCGTCGAAAAACACGCATCTCCGCCAAAACTAAGTGTGTCTGTGTGTGCACAGGGGAGCTGTGAAGAAATTCAATATCACTGCTGTATCGGTTTCATATTTTCTACGAAGGGCCGCACAAACACGTGTTTGATCAGGATGTGACATCATTGCGTGGCATCAATGCAACTCACCGCCCAAAAATGCAGTAACGCAACCTCCGTGACATGTATCCGACAACCGTACATGGCACCCTCGGCATTTGAATCAACTGGAGCCTTCTGATGCGGAGTTGGAGCCAACAGCGACCGACTATTCAGCGCCTCTGGTTCTGTGCGATCCGTTAACTCCACTCCCATGTCATCTTGGCTCTCCTGGCAATGCTGCAGTGTCCAAATCTGCAATGGGCGAAAGTAAGATGAACGCCCCTTCCGGTCAAGCTTCAGTTCACATTCCGACTTAATTAATTGCTTGATATTGCTTGTACATACTCGTACTTTGGTTTCCATGCAGAAGCCTTTGAGAATCCAACCACTGAAAAGCAATCCTGCACAATCTTCACATGAAGTCATGCCCCAATGCGTCATCAAATGCTCTCTTCAATTCACTGATTGTGTGAAATACTACTTGCCTGTTGCATGATCTCCGTGAGTTTGGGACTGCCAAGGCTTTCAAGATTCACCCAGGTTTCAATGATTCAGTACCCAAAAGTCAAATTTCACCACCCTGGGGAAGGTTCACGACCAGCACAACATCAGGTTGAAATCCGCATCTTTACCTTTGATTCCCAATAAACCATGGCAACATGTGGCAACCCCACTGGGGCTGTTGACCTCATTGCCGGGTGATGTAACGCCAAAACTCGGAATTCAGCACGCGAAGTCTCCCCTAAAGTGGCACACTGTTCATCCGCTATTCTGCACTTCGTGGTCCTGGGTGGGGAAAACCACATCCACGGTCGCTTCTTGATCTTCCACCGGATCCTCAAAGCAAGAATGAGTCAAGAGAAAGTGAAGAACGCCACTGAAGATACGCTCCCAAGGTCAGGTTGTGGTAATGGCCTTGTTCTCGAACGGCATCTCAACAAAGGCCTATCCAAGGTGCATGGCAACTTAAGCGTCGGAAAACACGCATCTCCGCCAAAACTGAGTGTGTCTGTGTGTGCACAGGAGAGCTGTGAAGAAATTCAATACCACTGCTGGATCTGTTTCATATTTTCTACGAAGGGCTGCACAAACACGTGTTTGATCAGGATGTGACATCATTGCGTGGCATCAATGCAACTCACCGCCCAAAAATGCAGTAACGCAACCTCCGTGACATGCATCCGACAACTGTACATGGCACCCTAGGCATTTGAATCAACTGGAGCCTTCTGATGCGGAGTTGGAGCCAACAGCGACCGACTATTCAGCGCCTCTGGTTCTGTGCGATCCGTTAACTCCGCTCCCATGTCATCTTGGCTCTCCTGGCAATGCTGCAGTGTCCAAATCTGCAATGGGCGAAAGTAAGATGAACGCCCCTTCCGGTCAAGCTTCAGTTCACATTCTGGCTTAATTAATTGCTTCAGATTGCTTGTGCATACTCGTACTTTGGTTTCCATGCAGAAGCCTTTGAGAATCCAACCACTGAAAAGCAATCCTGCACAATCTTCACATGAAGTCATGCCACAATGCGTCATCAAATGCTCTCTTCAATTCACTGATTTTGTGAAATACTACTTGCCTGTTGCATGATCTCCGTGAGTTTGGGACTGCCAAGGCTTTCAAGATTCACCCAGGTTTCAATGATTCAGTACCCAAAAGTCAAATTTCACCACCCTGGGGAAGGTTCAGAACCAGCACAACATCAGGTTGAAATCCGCATCTTTACCTTTGATTCCCAATAAACCATGGCAACATGTGGCAACCCCACTGGGGCTGTTGACCTCATTGCCGGGTGATGTAACGCCAAAACTCGGAATTCAGCACGCGAAGTCTCCCCTAAAGTGGCACACTGTTCATCCGCTATTCTGCACTTCGTGGTCCTGGGTGGGGAATACCACATCCACGGTCGCTTCTTGATCTTCCACTGGATCCTCAAAGCAAGAATGAGTCAAGAGCAAGTGAAGAACGCCACTGAAGATAAGCTCCCAAGGTCAGGTTGTGGTAATGGCCTTGTTCTCGAACGGCATCTCAACAAAGGCCTATCCAAGGTGCATGGCAACTTAAGCGTCGAAAAACACGCATCTCCGCCAAAACTGAGTGTGTCTGTGTGTGCACAGGAGAGCTGTGAAGAAATTCAATATCACTGCTGGATCCGTTTCATATTTTCCACGAAGCACCGCGCAAACACGTGTTTGATCAGGATGTGACATCATTGCAACTCACCGCCCAAAAATGCAGTAACACAACCTCCGTGACATGCATCCGACAACCGTACATGGCACCCTCGGCATTTGAATCAACTGGAGCTTTCCGATGCGGAGTTGGAGCCAACGGCGTGGCATCGTTGAAGAGGAACCAACGGCGTGACCGCAGATCCTCACCCACTTTGCAGTAGGCCGTATAGTGTCCGAAGGATAAGCTTCCTGGTGCGGAAGCGTGTTGCGCAAGGAGATTGGCGACATCCACCTAACTTGACCTGGAAGTGGAACAGTTACTTTGACATCCCAGATTGGGTTGATAGAATTACCGGCCCCAAGCAATCCCTTCTTACCATGTAAGAACGGCGTGGCATCGTTGAAGAGGAACCAACGGCGTGACCGCAGATCCTCACCCACTTTGCAGTAGGCCGTATAGTGTCCGAAGGATAAGCTTCCTGGTGCGGAAGCGTGTTGCGCAAGGAGATTGGCGACATCCACCTAACTTGACCTGGAAGTGGAACAGTTACTTTGACATCCCAGATTGGGTTGATAGAATTACCGGCCCCAAGCAATCCCTTCTTAC